GCTTATTCCACTGAGCCATCTCTCCAGCCCCTCTTCTAGGTTCTTATCACTTCCCATATCACTATATAGGAATGCATACATAGTCTATTCTTTTCCTACTAAACCACAAACTTTTTAATGGAAAGGAATGGGAAGAAACCAATTTCTCAAGTTATCTGGTTGTTACCATTGCTTGACCTAACTACTGCAGAAGAAAATGAAGAAGATATGCTGTACCTCATTTTCTCCTTAGCATCTTCGAAGCTTTCAGATACAAAATAGACATCTTGAAATGTTGTGATAAGACATTCTTGTTTGCAGGTAACCTTGGGATCGAAGGGCTTTACTTTGGCATGTCCAGAAAGTGCATGCTAGATGACAAAGAGTTGGAGAGTCAGAGAGTAGCATCTATTCTCATAGATCACGTAAGTGCCAGAGTTGTACACTGCTGCGTTATTATCCAATGACCCCAATTTACAACCTCAAACTTCTTTCTTAAAGCGCTATTTAATCTATGCTCTACTCCAACAAAGCAAATAGCTTGATATTTCTCAAAAAGACCACAAGATCATCTCCGTGGCTTTATTCCAACACTTTTCTCCACGTCAGAGGCATCCACGGAAATTTACTTATTCTTGTACTGTGGCGCCTACTTTCTACCCAAGAGTACAATTATTCCTGTACTTTACTTATGCTCACCACTAGGTGGCAGGCTCCACGACAGCAAAGCAGTACCATGGACAGTGTTTCGCAGCCCTTACTCAACAAACAAGTTCATTTATTCATTGGGTAGATAACAAATCTCAAATAATTCCCTAGCAAGTATAGAAGTTATTACTAGTGCACCCAAAATGATGGAACTTTGAAGTAGCAGCAAGGCTTTGCAAGCAAAACCTTCAAAACCATTTTTATTTGAAAGACTGTGTGTATTCAGAAAACTTGGGAAATGTCTGTCCTTTTTTTAAAGGAGGAAAAGTTTATTTTGGCTCACAGTTATTGCACAATATCAGCTTGCTCCAAGGTACAAATGGAAAGGCAGGGATGGCCAAATAGCTCCGCGGATTAAAGTGCCTGCAAGCAAGCTCAGGGGCCAGGGGTTTGATCCCTGAGGCCTGCCATGCAAGCCCCACCCCTGGGGCACGCTGAGATGGCAATTGAGACTGGGCATGGTGGCGCACACCTGTAATCCCAGATTTTGGGAGGCTGTCAACAGGTGGATCACTACAAGTCCGATCTAGTAGTGAGACCCTGATGAACACCCTATAGACTCTTCCCTAAAATTAAAAAAAAAAAAAAAGGAAAGGAAAGGCACAGGCACAGGCACAGGGTGGGGAAAAACATGCCCAGACCACAGCTTCCAAGAAGCAGAGAGGAGAGAGGAGCCAGGGACCAGGGTACCCTTCTAGGCCACACCCTCAGGAACCCACCTGTAATGAGGCCCCAAGAAAAATGTCTTCCTTTAAGTAATGTTTCTAAATGAATTAAGATACATTATGTCCATGCACCAACTCCCCATGAATAGTATAATCATTATGCACTGTAATCATGTACTAATAAAAAAATTAAAACCAAAAATGTTTATTGTCACCCCAAGTATTCTGCATAGGAGTCTCTTGTTCAAATACAAGAACTATTTCAGGTCATAACAGTCACTTAGGTGAGTAAGTTATGTGCAAAACTGTACAAATCTTACCTTGAGTTCACTGATAGAAGAAAGCAAGCCAGCACCGAAGACTCTCAGCTGCCCATCTTGTTTACACAAGCCAAACTCCACGGTGAAAAAGTAGCACTGTAAAAAGACATCAGTATTATTCCACATTCCGTATGACTCAGTATAAAAAAAATTTCAAGTCTTAGTCACGAACCCAAAGCACCTCCACAATAAAGCTCAAGAGCCCCAACCTACATAACAAACCTTTCCACAGTTTGGCCTCCTTCTAACTAGCACTTCTCAAACGTCTTCTGAAGATTCTTAGACACAATTAAAAATTACCAAAGACTACAAGGATCATTTTTTTTGATATGTAAGATATAGCTAGCTAGATCGACCATATTTAAAATTAAAACTGAAATTTTTAAATATTAACTGCTAATATGCTACATACATTTTATGGTAAAATAAAAAACATTCTTATAAAAACATTTTTTATTTTACAAAAGTAGTGTTTTACATCATTAAAATCTCTTTGGTATTTTAAATTCTTTGACAAAGTATAATCACATATAAATATTAGGTACACAATGTGGGATGGTTAAATCAAGCTGATTAACAACATTATTACAAGACTTTTAAATGTCTGTCCAGAAGACAGATGGATTGTCATATCTGCTTCTATATTTAACCTGTTGCAATATGTTGTTTTGGCTAAAGTATATGAAGAAAACTTGACTTCACACAGTTATGGAGTTAGAAAAGGACAGAGCATTTTAATAGCCTTTTCTAGGGTTGGGGAGATAACTCACTAGAATAAGCACTTGCCTGGCAAGCACAAGGCCCTGAGTTCAATCCCCGGTACTGCAAAAAAATTTAAAAAATAATAATAATAATCTTTTCACATAAAGGTGGACATTCTTCTTTGAAATCTACCAAAGTCCAACACATGGCAGTTTCATCGAGTTCAGGGACAGTGTGGAATCACAACTCTGTCAAGGAGCTCCATCTCCTAGATTAAAACCCATTTCCATTTGACTGGATCTTTTACCTATCCATGATTGTAATCTCAAGGGCTCTTTGAAAAATCTCAGAAGCCCCGAGGGCCCCAAAAATCACGATTTAAGAAGCACTGTCCCAACCGGCCAACCTGCTGGCCACTGCATCCCCTCCCCTTCCACACTCTGTTTCAATTTCTTGCCATTCCCGGGTCCCCCAAGCACCGCCTTGCTCTTCCTGCATACTCTTGTCCTCAGGTGTTCTTCCTTCCTTTCTTGGAGCATGAGAATTCTACAGTACCCCTTTCCATCCACCAGGACAGAGGTCCCTTTTCTATCAAAACTTCCCCCAAAATTCTCTGCACTCCCAAACTTCTCTATAGTCTTTCTCCCATTTGAACGTGGCTGAATCCTCACGTAGTATAAGTTTCTTAAAGACAGGAACCAAGACTTATTCATCTTTCTGTTTCCAGAACAATCTTCTGGACCTAGTTCTCAGAATATTTTTAGCATAATTTTATGAAGCTTATCATTTTCATTGGAAAACAAAAGGTGTACAAACTAAGAGCATTAAACTTTCTCCACTTTTTTAAAGCTCCTAACTCTTTCTGAGTACCCTTTCAATCACACATCTTATTTTAATTAAGTTAAATATAAGACAACTTTTCTCTATTTTATCTTTGATATGAAATTTTAATTTTTTAATCTTTTATTTGCTTATTTGGGACAAGGTCTTGTGACAAAGCTTGGACTGATAGTGATTCTCCTGTCACAGCTTCCTCAGCACTGGGATTACAGGCATGTGCTACTACTCCTGGTATTGGGGCCAGCACGGCACACCCAGCGTTCCGGGGCTGGCATGGCATGTGGTACCAGGGAATGAACCCAGGTCCTTGCACCTGCCAGGCATGTGCTTAGACCACTGAGCCATCTCCCCAGCCTTATATGAAATTTTAAACTACATAAATATTCATACTTTGTACCCAGGCGAGAATTGCAGCACTATATAGTTTCCCAGATTTATACCGTTGCCAGCTTTTGAACAGCCTCCTCTGAAGCTCCAAGCGATGCCAGACCAATTTCCTGGGAGAACTGAGCGAAACTAGGTTCAGCCAAGAGTGGGACATGACCTAGGAGTTCGTGGCAGGTATCTCTGAAATAAAGGAATAAGTTTGACACACTGTGATGCTTACCAAGTGCATAATCATCCAAGCAAATCAAAGTGCAGCCTTACTCTTACTCTACTTGATCAGGCAGTAATGAATCCCAAAGACAGGAACCAAAAAAGAATTTATTGATGTTCAAAATCTTGACCACTTACAGACATACACTTGCATATCAGATACCCAAAGGCACACCCATGTCCCAACCCCCACCTAAATCCAGTCCCTGTTCAAATGTCACCTTCTCAGCAAGGCCCTTTCTGACCACCCTTCACATAACTGTAATGCCCACATATACCTCCAGCCCTTTCCCTGCTTGATTTTTCTCCATGGCACTCCTCTCTATCTGACTATATATATATATATATATATATATATATATATATACAATTTACTCATTTACTATTCATATTCTCCATTGAAGTATGAGCTCTATGAGCACGTGGCACTGCACGGGCTGTTGATTAATAATACAAAGATTGCCTTATTGATGGAACATACACTATGAGCCAGGCACTATTCTAAATGGTTCATAGGTGCTAATTCATTTCACCCTTAAAAAGAAAACATGAAGCAGATAACATCATTATAAATAACCCATTGATGAATGAATGTCTGACTTGTAACTTACGGCTCCGGGGTATAGAGGGGATCTGAACTGTGTCTCACATACTGAGTGCAGTGAAAAACTCGAAAGGCTAAACCTGATAGGAAATCTCTTGGTGATAGATAGCCAGCCACAGGACGGATGGAAAACCCTGTGCGCTCTGGAAGGCAGAGAAAAGGAGAAACCAGAAAATCTTCATTACCTGTGCAGGCTTTAATAGAGGACATAGGAACTACAATTTATCATATGTGTTAAGGGCAAACAGATATTATTAAGCATTTATTGTGGCCAGGTAGTGAGTTAGACCTTGTACAAATCACATCGCCTTCTATGTATACTACATGAGCAAAAGATTTCTCCTTATTGTGACAGCTAAGCGACAACAGTGTGCTTGGAGACATATAGTAAATAATAAAGTTATACTGAGAGCCTAGTCTCCTTATCTTACATCTTGCTGTCTTTTTACACTCACTTTCTTTTTACAAGCATTCAGCAAAAAGACCTATTATTTTAGATCAGAACCATTTTTTAGCCAGTGCCATTTATAGCTAGTACTGTCTTTAGCAGTTTCTTTGTTCTGTCTACAATGGATCGCTTTCTGCCATTCCCCAACTGGCAAGACTGTACGCACTGTGAAACAAACGCATCAGCCACTGGATGTCAGAGGCTTGCAGGACCTCAGTAAGCCCCAGTCTTGTCCTCCACGTCAAACTCTCACAGCCCTGGTAGTCTATGCAGTTCCACCCTGGTGCCTTATCATGGATGGTTTCATTCTAAGCAGCAAAGCATTTTCCAAGAGCTTCCCACAAGGATAGAAATGCTCTGCTCTGTGCCAGCCAGGAAGGCAGCCACTAGCCATGTGTAGCTAGCGAACACTTAACCTGGGACAAGTGTGACTGAGGAACTGACGTTTTAACTTAAATTCATTTTGATTATTTAGAATGCAAACAACAACATGTGCCTGATGGTTCGCATATTTGGCAGTGTAAGTATTATATATTCTATCTGATGTTTTCTTTGAGTTGTCTTTTAGTATCTTTGACACTTGCCCTTGAAACACTCAACACACACATTCTGAAGCCAGCCCAGTTTCCAGATAACAGCTTTAATTTTGTATCTTAGCCTCCAAATCTCTTGCAAATTTGATTTTACAAAAACTCCTGTAGCACAGAGTTGCCAAACTTTGTAAGTCCACTAAAATCATGTATGCTGTGCTGTTTTAAAAGCCTAGTTTTTGTAGCAATCACTTATAAGACTTCTTCCCCTGTAGAAAAAAAAATGCCTTGTCTTATTCAATCATTTTTAGTTTTGTGTATAGTTTTTAAATAATTAAAGTTAATATGTTGGATGAACACATAGATTTTTGTTAATAATGTACATTAAAAAACTCAAAAAGTAACTTCAACCATAATGAAGAGGAACTAAAAGGAAAGGCAGGCAGGCAGGAAGAAGGAAAGAAAGAATGAAAGAATTCTTTCAATCAAAAACTTAAGTTCTTTTTTACACTAAGACCTCCTGCGATCACTGCTCCTTTTATTTTTTATACTAGCTAGAGAAAATGAAGAGCATGAACTATTAGAAGCATAATTTTCACAATAAATTTGTTGAATAAATGTCCCCTTTATGACACTATTGGCACATCTTTCTTATGAAAACCATAGAATCCTAATGCAGAAAGGACCCTTCGAGAGCCTCCAGGCCACCCTTTCCTAAGATGCCCGGATTCCCTGTACCATGACTTTGACAAGCAGGGGTGGCATTTTGCAGGGCACCTCTACAGATGGGCAGCTGACTAGCTCAGGACCCTCTCATTTTTTTTTTTTTTTGAGACAAGTTCACACTATGCAATTCAGGCTGGACTGAGCTCACTTCATAACCCAGGCTGGTCTCAAACTCACAAAAAATCCTCCTGCATCAGCCTCTGGAATGCTGGGATTACAGGCATGTGCCAGCCACCATGCCCACATATTTCCAAGGGGCACATTTAACTATATACTCTCCATTCTGTGGCAGTGCAGTTTCCATCCAATGGTCCCTGACTTTTAGGGCCACATACTATTGTCTGTTACATTAAATGGCTTTCAAATATTCACGTATTTAAGAAAATGTCTCCTAAATCACCACCTTAAACACATTTCGAATTTTAAATATTTATTTATGTGTGTGTGTGTGTGTGTGTGTGTGTGTGTGGCCAGCTCAGCCCACCAGGGGGCGGGGCTGGCAGGCATGTGGTGCTGGGGGATTGAACCGCGGTCCCTGTGCTTTGGCTAAGCTTGTTCTAAGTAGGTGCTTTAGACCACTGAGCCATCTCACCAGCCCACACATTTCAAATTTTACTATTGATAAGTTTTCAAAATTCCCTCACAATTCTCCTCATTTTTCCCTCCTCTTGCTCCAGGTTAGGATTAGCTCTCTTCACATACAGTGCCAAATCCCGACCACAACACTCCAAGACACACTGCAGGAAAACACTCAATGCCTACGTAGCTAAATTGTGCTCCTCTGCTAAACATGCTGGTGTGATCAAAACACAGCTTATCATTCCTCTTACAAAAATCAATTAGCTTGATACCTTTTAAAAAGTTTGAAACATCTTCCAGTTGTGGAATATTATCTTCCCGATAACCACAATATTTAGAAAGCAAAGGTAAGTTTTTGAGGTACTCTCTGCAGGCATGAGTTGGATAGAGTTTATTGAGCTCTCGGAAAACAGTTCCCCAGGTATTAATCTCTTCTTCAGTGAATTCAACCTTGGGGATGGGGTCTCCGCTAAGGGGAAAAAGGGAGGAATTATTCTGAGTTAGCAGTGAGGACCCAGGAGCACTGATTTTCTACTTACAAAATAAACACAAAATAGCCACCCTTTGCTCTATTGATTTAGTTAACAATCTCAAAGTTAGTTTATCATACATAATATACTTACTGTTTATAGTTCATAGCCAATTCTGCAAAATACTTTCGTCTTTGACGGTACACATTGTCTTTGAAGCCCTGATAATCAAACATAAGTTTTTAAATATTCACACTAAAAATACATGAAAGATGGTATTTAGGAAACATTTCATTGTTTTTAACTGGACATAGTATATTACAGGAATCATAATTATTACTACAAGCAAGGATTGTTTAGTGGTTATTTATTTATTTACTGTCTTTTTGAGACAGGGTCTTGCTATGCAGTTCAAGCTGGCCTTGAGTTCACTTTGTAGCCCAGGCTGATCTCGAACTTGCAAAGATCCTCCTGCCTCAGCCTCACAGGTACTGGAATCACATATGTGTGCCACCACACCTAGCCCTGATCTTTTTTATTTTGAATTCAATTCACATAACAGCTTTGCACTCCATTGACTACAAAAATAAATATATAGTGATATAATTGTGATACATAATGTAGTCACATATATTATAGTGACTACAAAGATAGTTTGCAGAATCGTGAAAGCACCACCCTAGTTAAATAGCCTTTTCCAAGGATGAGTACTGTACTTTTTCCTTTAGTCATTCAATCACATCTTCAGTTATACACCTGTGGTAGCAATTAATAATAATATTATTAGGGCCGGGGTTGTAGTTCAGTGGAAGAGCCCTTGCCTAGCATATTTGAACCCTCAGGTTTGATCTCCATCCCCACAAAATATAACAACTCTAAAAAAGTAATTAATAAATTTAAAATAATGACAACTAAATCTAGTGTTAATTTTGGCACAAACTGTAGAACCACAAAGAGACAGTAATACAAAACCAGACAAAATAGTTGTTAGAATTTATATTTATGAAAAATATCTTTTATAAGTAGATAAAATAAGGAATCAAAAGTTCAAGTCTACAAACAAGTAGCCAGAAGTGCAAAATAGCAGGAAAGAGGAGGAATCCTGAAAGGAGAGAATGGGACTCATCTCTACACGTTATGGGTCCCCACTATGCAGCTGGCCCTGGGCTAAAATCCTGGAGAAATAAAAATGAACAAAGCTCTTTGGAGCTTCAAGAAATTTCCATGAACCTATTACTCTATAAGAACGTAAACACGTTATCAGATTTCACGGGTATGCACACAATACCATGAAAACTCAAAAGATAGCCTCACAATCCAGAGTGTAAAACAGGACAGTGTGGCTTCCCCAGGCAACTCCTGAGCTAAGCCTCAGAAGGGGAGTGCAGATCATAGGACAAAAGAGGACAAAAATGACAACATCAACAACAGCACTGAGATGAAAAAGAACACACTGTGCCTAAGAAGATACAAGGACCTCAAAGTTCATGGAGCTTGGAGGGTAGGTGGGGTAGGTTGAAGGCTGGTCCGGGGTCTGCCGGGTATAGGTCCATTATGGGCCTTGGATTTTAACCTTGGGAATGAAATTATATTAGTGGATATTTTTTAAGTAACAACTTTACTGAACTATAGTCCACATGCCGTAAAACGACTGCTTCCAAAAGACTTAAAATATCATGTTACAGTGACATATGTATTCCCTTGTTATAGCAGCCAATCCACAATAGCCAATCCACAATCCATAAATCTTGGAGGTGGTCTATATAACTATCAATAGAAATGGATAAAGAAAATGTGGCATCTACCCACAATGGAGCGTACTACTCTGCCATATAGAAGGAAGTTGGAGTCATTCATATGAAAGCAGATGGACCTTGGAACCACAATGTTAAGTGAAGTAAACCAGACACACAAGCTTAAATATCTCTTACCTGAGAAGCCCAGGGTGAAAATATAGAGCAAAATAAAAGCTGAATAACAAGAAGCAAGGAGATAGATCTTTCTCAGAGGGGAAGGGGAACAAGAGATTTAAAAGAAGCAGAGAGATAAGAGAATATAAAAGGAATTGGAATATATATGTTATATACATGTACTCATTCTACACAAGGATGTAAACTGCATGTACTGCAAACTTGGGGATCAGGAGATGGGCAGAAGTGAGGGGGGGAAGGGAAAGGGAACGCAAAAAGGAATTAGGAAATGGGATGTGCCTGTACCACTTCCCACAAGGAATGTAAACATTACATACTGCGCATATTTCCTAATAAACTAAAAAAAAAATAAAACATCAAAAATATGATTTAATTTTTCCCTTATTTTAAAGATAATAAAAAACCAATAAAATGATACAGAATTTCAAAACAAGATGATAGGAAATTAACAGAGGTAATTATATCTCATATTGTTATCTTCAAAGTAATTGCTGAGAGTATCAGATATAGGCATGTAAGACTGGTCAAATGATATAAACACTGTTCCCTTTAATGAATAACAATTTTAGTTTTTTTCTTAAAAAACGCGCTGGAATTCATTACATTAAGAAATTAAGGGGCCAGGGAGATGGCTCAGTGGAATAAGCGCTTCCCTGGCAAGCGCAAGGACCTGAGTTCAATCCCTGGTTCTGAAAAAAAAAAAGAAGAAGAAGAAATTAAAAACCATCTCTGCTTTCTAATTTCAGAAAACTTTGATTAATCTAAAAAGAACTATGATGCTTATCAGCTTCACAGCCCCATTTTTCTCCAACCACAATCCCCAGAACACAGTAATCTGTTTTCTGTTTCTAAGAATTTGCTTATTCTGGGACTCCAGAAAGAAGTGATGCAAAATGAATCAAATAACATGAAGCTTTCTGTGACCAGCTTTTCTTGAGGTTCATCCACGTCATAGCATGTACTAGAATTCCGTGGCCTTTTATGGCCAAAACTGTTCAATGGTAGGGACAGCCAACACTTCTTCCATTTATTGGTTGATGGACATTTGGGTTCTTTCTACTTTTTTGCTATTAAGACTAATACTAATGTGAACATTAGTATGCAGATTTCTGAGCATATGTTTTCAGTTCTATTCAGTATATTCCTAGGAACCATTGGTGATTTTTTAGGAGAGATGACAGTGGTCATCTTGAGATTCTAGATCATTCCAGTGATGATGAGGATGGGTTTGGAAGTAGAAAGGCTGAAGTCAGGGAAACCAGTTAAGGAATGTGGAAGTGTAGATACATAAGGAAGAAATTTGCGAAATAGGAAGTAAAAAGTCACCAGAATTTGGTAGATCAGTAAAACTGATATACTAACCTCTTTGTAAACATGCTCCAGATTTTCTTTCCCTTGAATCTCTGCTCATATTGTCTCCTCCTTCATTGTCCTAACTTTCTGTCACTTACCTGATGACATCTTTGAATGCCCAGTTCAACAGTCCAGTTGAAATTTTGCCTTTCTCTGATCTCTTTAACTAGGAGTGTTTGATCTTTCATGCATACTTTAAGCAATGTATTAATGTTACTTCACACATGTTTTAACTTTTAACTCCATACATTGATGTATGCACACTCCAGCTTTTCAACTAGATGAGTAAGTTCCTTAAGGGAAAGTAGGCATTTCATTGCAAAACTTATTCCATAAGATTAAAAAACAATGGACAAATCATCTGGGGGGCTGTCTAGAGCAGCATACGGTCACATTCAGAGAGGAAATGAATGGGAGAAGCTAGGTTAAAGCCCTGCTCTGTGGAACTGCATCATTGCACTCTTCTCTCCTCCCCACCAGGAACCTAGAGCTTCCATAAGCAAGCCTAACACTCTGGATTTACTAATGCTCTAGGTTGACCAGTTCTCCACATCTTTTTGTACTATTCAATTTCCCAAAGAAGCAACTTCCTAATTCATCAATCGGCTAATAAATCAATTATGCTGGGCAACATGGGTAGTGTTTCTTTCTCTTTATTCTTCTTTCCAGTAACTCATGCCACTTTAATAAGAAATAACTTCAGATACTAAAACTCTGTATAACTTTTGGAATAATAGCAATGCTGGGTATAGAGGGGGAACATGTTTTGGAGCCAATGATATTACATGGTTTAAAGGCAGTTAATCTCAATTCCACCAACGTGGAAGCCTAACATTTCTAAACTCTGGATTAAAACAAGATGCCATTTAGTCTAGAAAGCATGCTTTCTTTTAAAAATTTGCCTTTAATGTTTAGATTGCTTGAAATGATTCTCACAAAACCATTTATTAAAGCAAAAAAATTTTAAATGGGTTTACTTTGAGACTGGGCATGGTGGCGTGCATCTGTAATCCCAGCTCTTGGGAGGCTGTAAACAGGTGGGTCACTACGAGTCTAATCTAGTAATGAGACTCTGAACACCCTGTAGACCCTTCCTAAAATACCAAAGAAAAGAAAAGAAAAATACTTACAGGATGATCCGCATCAAGTTCAGATCCATACATCAGAACTCTGGTAGCACAAAAGTCCAGATCAGAGATCTTCTTTGGAAACCAAGGGACAGTTTCCATACCTGTCAAACACAAAAATCAACTAAACATTGAAAAGATGATATTAAATAAGGCAATAACAAGGAAGAAATTACTATTTCTTGATAATTTTTATAATAATTATTATTTAAAATTTTTCTGAGACAGGATCTCGCTATGCTGGCCTTGTGCTCACTTTTATAGCCCCCAGGCTGGTCTCAAACTCACAGTGATCCTCTTGTCTCAATCTACCAAGTGCTGGGACTAAAGGCATGTGCTACCATGCCCAGTTCCTGTAATAATTATTATTGCAATAATTAATAATTATTTCAGGATAATTATTGTATTAATATTTGGAAAAGATTTTTAATTTGTATATTGAAGAAACATTTATACAAGTTAAGAAATCCACTTTATTTCTAATAGGTAAATTGCATTGAAAATTTCTTAGCTTTAAAAACATTTTTGAAAGCTGAGGAGATAGCTCAGCAGCATAAGTGCTTGCCTGGCAAACATAAGGTTCAGAATTCAGTCCCCAATGCTACAAAAAAGAAAAAACAAAACAAAACAATTTTGAGTATTCAGATTGATTTCCCAAGTGTTGGAAAAATGCTTTATGTGCAGTACAGACAAAAAGTATTTTTCAATGTTTTATGCCACATATTTAGCTATCCTACAAAAGCAAAATAAAGATATGCAACTTTACAGACCAAGGTGAAGGTTTAATAAGAACTCCAGATATCTATTTTTGTTGATTAAAAAAATCTTAGAAATTCATTACTGCCTTTGCCACTTCCATCACACCATTCCTCAGGTGGACATGAAGCTCTGGGATTCTGCATATGCTCTTCTACCTGGAATGTCTGGCCTGCTCCCACTCCCCTGGCCCCACTTTTCTGTCCTCCTGAGAATACCTTCCTCAACCTTGAAGTCACCAATCTAATAAAACCTCACTGTGCAAAGGAATTATCTCTTCTGGGTTTTTTTCTGAGTTTTTGTGACACTATGTTTGTAACTCTAGATATTTTTACTATGCTTTATTATATCTGTCTTTCTCAAATGACTGAGAATGACATAGGGTAGGCACTGTAGTGTGTGTGTGTGTGTGTGTGTGTGTGTGTGTGTGTGTTTAGTTCTTAGTTGAAATATCTGACACATGTGTTGGCATTCTCTAAATGTCAACCAAACCAGCTAGCCATCAACAAAGCTCTGAATGTGACAGATGAGATAACCAAACTCCAGGGAGGTAAGGTCATTTACCCAACAGAACTCATACCCACTTTCAGTGGAAAAAAGACTAGAACGCCACACTTGCTGCAATGCATTGCTCTCCTTTATCCACGAATGATATTCAAGAGATTTAACAACAAATACAACAAGGGAGCTAGCTAATCACTCGAAACAGACACCGGCAAAGCCCATGACTCCTGCTCTGCCAGCTGGAGCCCTTTTAGCTCTTTGCTAACGGTGGGCATGAAGGTTCTAGGTGAGAATCTGAACAACAGAGGCTTCAGGCATGATGAGGAAGACTCAGGGAACGAGCTCCCTGACAGCCTAAGGGAAGTATATCAATATCTTAATAACTATACAACTGTACAAATATACAGTAGGTGAATATGAGCCCTGGTGATATTCCAAATATTGTGCTACAATCGGAAGAGATTACTGTTCATTGGATACCATATATAAAATGTGGCTGAATTATCTATTTGTTCTTCTGTTTCAAGTAAACCACAGGGATTGCTGTCACTAATGGAGATCTTCAACTCCATCTTGGCTGAGTATCTGAAACCTTAAGAAGGCTTTGCTGCTTTCACTTGCTCTTGTGCTTGTCAGGCAGGCACTTATGCCATGGAGCTATATCCGTGGCCCCTTTCACTTGCTCTTGGTGGGAATGTTGTGCATTATGTGTTTCACCTCACCTTTGTCAGACATTACCAACATTTTCAATAAATTTACATACATATTCCACAGATGCTAAGAGCTAAGAGTGTTACTGTGTTCAGAGAGTGTGACTTGAAGGTCTGTGGAATCAAGCAATGTTTGATTATGAATCATCATTCATAATCCAGAGGCAATTAATTAATAGCCATTTGATTCTTCATTATACTCAAGGTTTCTTTGTCCCTTTTCTCACCCTTAATTGAATGGGGCTTTATCATTTTTCTTTAGCATTTTGAGAAATTATACTTGTGTTTTCTCCACTACCATAAGAACTCTGAAAAGACAGTGTTTTATTTTTATCTTCATGTCTTCAAGATGGAAGTAAGAGCGGACATACATAGGCATCCGATCTTGTAAGTAGCACTTTCACTTTTAAACTTACCGTCTTCCTTCACAGTAACATTAGCTGGTGGGTTCACAGAGAGAACGTTAGTATGAGACTTCAGCAGGTGAAAAATGTCATTCAATTGTTCTCTGTTGATATCACAATCAACAAAAATCTCAAATTCTGAATTTCTTCTCTTGGATTTTCGGGACTCAATATGTAACAGGTTCACATGCTTCTCCTGTGAACCAAAAAGCAGCAATGTCATGTGACTGCCTCAGATACACACCATTGCTGAGAAAAATATTTCATTAGCATCAACATCCGACTTTAAGGGGCTGGGGAGATGGCTCAGTAGAATAAGCGCTTCCCTGGCAAGCACAAGGGCCTGAGTTCAATCCCCGGTTCCACCAAAA